CCTGCTGAATTCCTAGCCTGCCCTTAATGCATGTACAGCAAAACACTACTCTAGCTTATCCTGACTTGAACCTTGTTAATTCCTAAGATGTGAAATGTCACTTATCATTATTATAGATTGAAATTGAGCAAATACTATAGCATCTTAATATAAAGCAGGCACTCAAAAAAATGTTTCTGAATTAAAAAAAAATTGAATACAATGTTTGAAAAATATCTTTGGAAGGAAGGCTGAAATTTGAGCATTACTACCAAGCTAATTATTTTGGGGGAGAGGTTTTTATTTTTTTTCTTTCTACTATAGGGCGCATGCACTCGCCAGACAGACAAAGAGAGACATAGAGACAGAAAGCGAGAAATCATCCCCCAGGGGGGATGGTCATGCCGCAATCCCTTCTCCTCCATTCTCCTCTCAGGATCTTGGGCACGCACGTACACGCGCCCGGCATGAGTTTTAAGCCACTGGGTCTGGGACACAAACCGTGGTCGACTACATGGGAGTCCAGCGACATACCCATCATATAACTGCTGGTCCCCAAATTAATTATTTTTTAAATAAAGGGCTAAATTTTAGCAATATTCTAAAGTACATACTACTAAAAAAAAATTTAAGATTTAGTATATAATAATATTCAGTATAAATAATGAAAGAAAAGGGCCAAGAAGCACAATCTAGATGAAAATACTAATGAAACATAACAAATAAATCACAATATGTGATCCTAATTAGATCCTGAGGCAGAAAATAAAGGGACCAGCAGTTAGAATAATGGCTATGTCGCTGGACTCCCATGTAGTCAACCGCGGTTCGCGTCCCAGACCCGGTGACTTAAAACTCACGCTGGGCACATGTGTGTGCGTGCCCAAGATCCCGAGAGGAGAATGGAGGAGAGGGGATTGCGGCGTGGCCATCCCCCCTGGAGGGGTGATTTCTCGCTTTCTGTCTCTCTGTCTCTCTCTCTGGCGAGTGCACGAACCCTATAGCAAAAACCTCAAAAAAAAAAAAAAAAAGACTTTTTTAATGAACAATATGAGAATAACTGGCAAAGTCTGAATTAAGTCTGTAATTTAAACAATGTCAAACATCCAGATTTGAAAACTGATAAATGTCTTATGGTATAAATTTTCTTACTTAAAAAAAATACATAAAAAAATTATTCAGGAATAAAAAACATGATGCTGGTATCTTACTCTAGAACAGTTTAGAAAACAATTAAATGCATTGTAGAGAAATAAAACCAAATGTGAACCCCCCCAAAACTGAATTCTTACAACTTTTCTGTAAATGTATTCCAAAATAAAGTTAAAAATTCAGATGCAAGAATGTAAAGAACAGTGTTTTTTTTCATTCCACAAATAGTATAAGCCTCCTATACGACACTGGAGAAGTTGCTGAAATTCTGCATTACTCATAGATATACAATAAATTAAATATAAATAATCACTTTCTCTCATTAAAAACTGCTTTTCAACAAATAAAATACATCTGTTTTCAGGAAAAAAAGGCTAGAATAAAATATAAGTCATTTTTTTCATGTGCGCTGCTTGAGTTCTCTGTATATTCTGGTTATCTTGATAGAAAGTGGACGCGTTTGAAGGTTTACTGCTAAATGAAGCAAGTCAGACTATGAAAGAGAGGCCATTTATGGCCCCACTTAATAGACACTAAATGTCTTCACTTTATGGCAGAAATTAAAATACTAGGTGGTATAAAGGCTTGGAGAAACAGTGTGGAAGGAGGCTGGGAAATGGTAGAGGGTAAGAGAGGGGGATCAAGGGGAAAAACAAGGAAGCAAAATATATAAACACAAGAAATGAAGAAATAAAAAGGCCAAAAAAGAATATGTATAATTCCAAAGAAAACTACTGTCTGTACTACTAAACATTAAGAGTTGACCGCAAAGAGACACACTTCACACCTTTAGGATGACTATCATCAAAAGATACATGTATGTACAATACTAAGTATTGGTAAGGAAGTGAGCAAAATTAACCCTCATTCATTACTGCAGCTCCTTTGGAAAACAATCTGGCAGTTCTTTAAAAAGTTAAATATAAAATTACCATGTGACCCATCAATTCCACTCCTAGATTATATATGTCCAAGAGAAATGAAAACATACCACATGAAGACTTGTATACAAATGTCAGAAGTATTTATAAGGGTCAAAACCTGAAAATAACCAAGCGTCCATAATGCTGAATAAGTACATGAAATGTGGTATGTCCACAAGATGGAAACTTATTTACCAATAAAACAGAATGAAGTACTGAAATGCTATAATATGGATGAACCTTGAAAACAGCTAAGTAGAAGAAGTCAGTCACACAGAAGACTGTAAACTATACAATTCCACTCATATCAGAGGTCTGTTTCTATAGGAACAGAGAGTAAGTTGGTGGTTGACAAGGGTTGAAATGGTAAGGGGGGAAAAGGTAGCTGTTAAGTCATGGAGTTGCTCTTTGGAGTGATGAAATGTTTAAAATTGATAGTGGTGGGGGCCAGCAGGTGGCGTAGTGGTTAATGGCGCTAGACTCCCACATAGCTGACCTCAGTTCAGATCCCAGACCTAGCAGCTTGCTTTCTCACTTTCTCTCTCTCTCTCTCTCTGTCCCTCTCTGATCAAATGAAAATGAATAGATAAATAAAGTAAAATAAAACAATTCTTAAAAAAAAAAAAGATTGTGGTCACATTTGGATAATATGAATATACTTAAAAACACTGAGTTGTACACTTCAAATGGGTGAATTATATAGTATGCAAGTTAAAAGCTGTTAAGGGGGAAAAAAAGCATGGGTATAAAAACTCTTATAGACCTAGTCCAATGATTTAAAAGGTCCTTGGGACCAGCAAGAGGGTAGGGATTAAGGGCTGGACTCCCACATGGCCAGTTCGAATCCCAAACCCAGTGGCTTGAAAATCACACCGGGCACATATGCATGTGTGCCTAAAAATCCCAAGAGGAAAATGGAGAAAGTGTTGTACCATGGCCACACACTTGGTAGGAAGGGTGACTTCTCATTTTCCCTCTCTCTATCTCTGTCTCTCCAACAAGTAAACACACCCTATGGCAAAAAAATCTTAAAAAAAAAAAAAGAGTTCAATATTGAGGTAGAGACTATCCTTTTATGTAATGAGAAAAAGTTATTCATTCCCTTTAAGAATTTCTATTCTCCTCATACCCATGATTACTTTACACTAATACCCACTAAGACACTTATAATGATCAAGTCCAAGTGATAAAACCTATCCCCAAAGAAACCAAAGCAACACATAATTTAATCAAAACATCCAAAGATTATTTTTCACAAAAGACATCCATCACTGGTTTACAATTTGAACAGTAAAATGAGTTCCATGTTGTTTAATGTAAGTATAAAGTACTTTGATCTTAATGAGGTGATGTTTTATAAAACTCAATATTGTAAGTTGAAAAAATACTGAAAAGTGAATGAAAAATAGAATTTATTGGGGGCTGGCCAATGGTGTGCTGATGGGGACACTGGACTCTCACATGGCTGATTGTGAGAGTCCAGTGTCCCACAAGTCCCAGACCCGGTGGTTTGCTTTTTCTCTCTCCCCCTCACCCCCTCTTTCTGATCAAACTGAAGAATAATCATAATAAAATTAAATGAACAATTCTTTAAAAAAAAAAAAGAAAAGTAACATTTATTGACTACTATACACCCCTAGAATGGTAATACATTTAACATACAGACCTGCAGTAATATACTGTGCTGAAGCCATTTCCCCGGAAGCTCTCAAGGCACCTGCATACCTAGGAATGTAAAGGCAGAATTAAATGGGATTCGGTTCATTCTGAAAATCAAATGGGAAGAAACCAGTTATAAAAGACCTATGACACCATCCACTGCAAGGTTCTCAGTGCTGTTCCCATCTTCGTATTTCTCCCCTCCTTTTCTTGTCTTGCTCCTTTAAGCACTATATGGATAAAAAGGGAGTAACGGCCCAGCCTCTATGGCACAGTTGAAAATGTACCGGACTACAGAGCTAGAAGTCACAGCAGACCACAGTTGAGCACCTAGCCCAGGCACCATGAAAACGTGCTGAATACATGAACATGTGCCCAGATCCCAGCAAGCGGGAAGACTGGAAGAAAAGGATGGTGGTGTGACTGAGCCCTGCAGAAGGTGCTTCCCTGTCGTTCTCCCTCTTTCTCTCTCCCTTTCTTACTCTCTCTCATGCACACATACATACTCTATAATGAATAAAAACTTTTTAACATGTGCTAAGAAAATAAGGAATTTAAATGAAGCCTGAATTATTTCCCCCCTTATCTAATTCATATAAAATAAACATTTTCTGAAAATAATGTGGAATGGGCCAGCCCCATAATGCAGTGGTTAAGCACAATGGATAGGGAGCTGGATTCCACATGGCCAAAATGGTTCTAGTCCTAGCCCCCACAACTTGAAAAATATGCAGGGCGCTTTTGTATATGTGCCCAAGATTGAAGAAATGGAGGAAAAATGAAGAAATTGGGACCAGCAGTTAGCGTAATAGCTATGTCGCTGGACTCCCATGTAATCGACTGCAGTTCGCATCCCAGACCAGGTGGCTTAAAACTCACGCCGGGCGCGTGTGCGTGCATGCCCAAGATCCCGAGAGGAGAATGGAGGAGAAGGGATTGCGGTGCGGCCATCCCCCCTGGGGGGCTGATTTCTCGCTTTCTATCTCTCTGTCTCTCTCTGTCTGTCTGGCGAGCACACACACCCTACAGCAAAAACCTCTCCAAAAAAAAAGAAAAAAATGAAGAAATTAAGGAAAATGGGTTGCAGTATGAACAAACGGATTGCAGATGCGTTCTCTCCCTCTTCTCTCTCTCCCTCTATTTCTCTCTGAAGAGCACAAAAACACTCAAAATAATAAAATAAAAATAGTATGAAACAAAAATATCCACTAATTACAAAGAAAATAAAATTATATAATCTCAGAAATAAGTTGGGGGACCAGCAGTTGGCGTAATTGGCTATGTTGCTGGACTCTGATATAGTTGACTGCAGTTCAAGTCCTGGACCCACTGGCTTAAACTCACGCCAGGTACGTGTGCATATGTGCCCAAAATCCCGAGAGGAGAATAGAGAAGGGACTGCAGTGTGGCCATCCCCATAAGGATTTCTCACCATCTGTCTCTCTGTCCCTCTCTGTCTTTCTGGTGAGTGCACACGCCCTATGGCAAACCCCCCCACACACACACAAAAAAAAAGAAAGAAAGAAGGTGGAAGAAAAAAAGCTCTTGACTAAAACCAACAGATGGCATAACGGTTATGTGGCTGGACTCCCACACAGTTGATCACAATTCAAGTCCCAGATCTAAAAACTTGAAACTCGTGCCAGGCACGTGGGCATACATGCCCAAAATCTCAAGAAGAGAACAGAGGAGAAGGGACTGCAGTATGGCCATCTCCTGGCGGGGGTGGGGGTGGGGGAGGTATATCTCGCTTTCTGTCTCTCTGTCTCTCAGGCAAGCGCATACACTCTATAGCAAAAATCTCTTAAAAACAAAAAAAGCTTAGAACTAGATGCGTAATGGTTACATCACTGGACTCCCTGGTGGCTTAAAACTCACGCCAGGCACACGCGTGTACATGCCCAAGATCTCAAGAGAAGAATGGAGAAGAGATGGGGTGGCGTGGCCATCCCTAATGGGGGATAATTTGTCGTGCTCTGCCCGCTCTGTCTCTCTGGCAAGCACATGTGCCCTATAGTAAAAATCTCTCAAAAAATAAAAGGAAAAAAGCTCTAGACCAAAAATATTAAATCAAAACCCATACACCTAAATTCAGTACTAATTTCCTATATGACAAACGTTAAATATGTGACAAAGTTTCAAGTTGGTTTGCTCATCTATAAAATGAGGGGTTTCTATCAAATGATTTCTAAAGTCATTCAGCTTTATGATCCTCAGTTAATTTACTTCTTATAATAGGGTAACATGGCATATAGCTTTCTACATCTAGGGCAAAGCTATACTAGGGAAGTGTGTGTGAATGAATGAATGAGTAAATAAATGAATCAATGAATGAATCAATGTACTGAGAATGGGAAAGTCACAGATAATTTATTACTTATCTGCAAGGAACGTTCAATATTATATCAGCAAAATATATAATCCCCTACGAAGGCAAAACCAACCAGTAAGACAAATAATGTTAACACTGAACTTAAAAACTCCTTGGAAGGGAACCAGCAGTTGGCATAATGGCTATGTCGCTGGACTCCCACGTAGTCGACCGCGGTTTGCGTCCCGGACCCAGTGGCTTAAAACTCACGCCGGGCGCGTGTGCGTGCACGCCCAAGATCCCGAGAGGAGAATGGAGGAGAAGGGATTGTGGCGTGACCATCCCCTCTGGGGGGTGACTTCTCGCTTTCTGTCTCTATGTCTCTCTCTGTCTGGCAAGCGCACGTGCACTATAGCGAAAACCTCTCAAAAAAAAAACAAAAAAACTCCTTGGAAAAACTGACACAAATACTGAGAGGTTTCATGGACAAGAAAACAAAAGTACTGAGAGAACGCTTCTACACCCTGTCTTTGTCAAGTTAATAAATAAAATTAAGTAATGATATAGAAAACCTGAATGTAATTAATAACATTGTTAAAGTTAACAGTCTATTAAACTTTGACATCTACGAAAAGACATCATGACTTTTCTAGTATCTGTGAAGTATGCACATCAACCAAACAATCAGAGGAACTCAGGCCAGCTGCAGTAGTGCATGCTGTTGCTCAACAGGTTGAGGCCACGTGGGAAGCCCGAGTCAATTCCTGGCCCATCCTAATAAGCCAGGTATGGTGGAAACTGTCTGTAGGCCCAGACAGTTGGAAGGCTGAGGCAAAGAGGACTGCAACACATTATACACACACACACAAATAAAAATAGATAAGTAAAATTTCATTTTATTTTTTATTGCCAAAAGGTGCATGCTCCTGCCAGAGTGGAGTGGAGAAAGAAAGAGCACGAGAGAAAGCACCCTCTGAAGTGGAGTGTAGTCACTCTGAAATCCTTTACCCTTCATTTCTCCATCCTGTCAGAACCTTGGGCATGCATATACACATGCCACGGGTGGTTTTTTGTTTTGTTTTGCTCCTGGGCATGTGCCATCCCTGGATAAAGATACAATGGGGGAATCATCCACTGGGGTGAGGCCATGCCACAATCCCTTCTTCTCCATTCTCCTCTCAGAATTTTTGGCGCACGCACACAAGCATCTGATGTGTTTAAGCCACTGGGTCCAGCCATGTGGCATCCAGCACCTTAACCATCATACCACCTGTTGGCTCTAGCCAGGGTGTTTTTCAAGGTGTGAGGACTGGGATTTGAACTATGGTTGGTACTGTGGGATTGTCTTTGTATATCTAGAAAACTCTACATTATGGGGTCAGTTCAATAAGTAAAATTTAAAAGGAAACTCAAATTTCCAAAAACCAGAAGTTATAGAGGCCACAATCCTTACTTGTGGTGTAATGAAATAAATGTATATACTTTCATGTTCAAAGGGACTTCAAAAAGTTCCTGGAAAAATAGAATTAAAATATGAACAAGTTTATTTTGGTGCAAAAAAATTTTTCTACGCATTTTTTATTATAAACATTCTTCATAAACTTTTTGAAGACAGTTTAAAATTTCTAAATCCACAGGCTAAATAATTTCAATTAAACTCTTGGGTCAAGATGTGGAGCAAATAGCTCATATAATGCTGATGAAAATGTAAAACTAGGGGCCAACAAGTGGTACAGTGGTTAAGGCACTGGATTCCCAGATTCAATAGCTTGAAAATCACCCTGGGTGCATGTGCATCAGTGCCCAACATCATGAGAGTAGAATGGAAATGGAACTGCTGAGAAGCCATCCCTCCTAGGGGGGTGATTTCTCACTTTTCTTTTCTCTGTCTCTCTCTAGCGAGCACAGCGTCCTGTTGCAAAAAAAAAAAAAAAAAGTGAATATGGTACCATGTTTGGCAAGATGTATTAAAACTGGGGACCAGCAGATGCAGTAATGGTATGTCAATGGGCTCCCATGTAGTCAACTGCAGTTCGAGTCCTGGACTTGGCAGCTTAAAACTCACACCAGGCTCACATGTCAGTGCCCAAATTCCCAAAAGGAGAATGGAGAAGGGACTGCAGTGTGGCCATGCCCCCTGGGGGGAGATTTCTTGCTTTCTGTATCTGTCTCTCCAGTGAGTGTATGCACTCTATAGCAAAACTGCCCCCACCAAAAAAAAAAAAAAAAAGATGTACTAAAACTGAATATATGCTTAGCTTTACAGCCCAGCAGTCTAACTCCTAGATGTATGTGTAGGCCCATTCCTGCAACTCTGTACTTCCAGCAATCATGCTGGAGGCTAGGATTTTGGGCTTTCCAGCTAAGAAAATTCTGAGTTTGCAAACAAACTTCTATCTTCATTATAAAATCACATAGGCTCACATATTTCCATTAGCAATGCAATTAACAGACTAAGACGGTTAGACAATCTTGTGAATATAATAAACACCCACTGAACACTTTAAAAAAAGGATGAATGGTATGATACATAAATTTTATTTCAATAAAGATGAACCAAAAAATTGGTACAAGACAACACTATTCACCCAAATGTGAACCCTCCCTACCCAAAGAAAACTCGAAGATTTCTCTTATCTTACCTTTTAAGGGCATCTTTGAGTTCAGGCACAGAACGAATACACTGAACTGTAGCATTCATGTAACAAGTGTTACCAAGATTTGTCAACCCACATGGTAATTCCATCTGATAAAAAAAGAATTAAATCATTTCTATAAAATGACATGCTTATATGTCCACATTTTAAATAAACTAATAAATAACATTTACCAGCTCCTACTAATTTATATTTCACCTTCATCCTAAAGTAACAATGTTTTATTTCCCCCAACAAAATTTTTCACTTGCGGAACTGGCAGGTGGCATTGTGGTTAAGGTCACTTAACTCCCACGTGCCAACCATGGCTTAAGTCCCGGATCTGGTGGCTTTCACTTTCTCTCTCTCTGTGTCTCTCTCTCTCTATCTCTCTCTTTACCTCCCTCTCTGGTCAAATTTAAATAAATAAATAATAAATAAAGCAAAATAAAATTAGGAAAAAAAAATTTTTTGGAGAGGTTTTTGCTATAGAGCACGTGTGCTTGTCAGAGAGAAAGAAAGCAAGAAATCACCCCCCAAGGGGGATGGCCACGTTGCAATCCCTTTTTCTCCATTCTCCACTCAGGATCTTGGGCACACACGCACACGTGCCCGGCGTGAGTTTAAGTCGCCGGGTCTGGGACTCGAACTGCAGTTGACTACATGGGAGTCCAGCAACATAGCCATTACACTAACTGCTGGTCCCAGAAAATATTTTTTTTACTTGCATCGTTCTGTGTTTTAGTTTCCTTCATAAAAACAGTAAGAATTGGGCCAGAGATGACATGGTGGTTTAGATGACTAGATCCTACAAGGGCAACTGCGCAATAGGAGTCCCAAACCATGTCTCTTGAAAAACACACCAGAAGCATATGCGTGCATACCCAAATCCTGAGAAGCCATTGGAGAAAGGGACTGTGGCGTCATCATCCCCCAGGGAAGGCTTTCTCATTTTTCTCTCTGTGTCTCTCTCTCTAGTGAGTGTTATGTGCCTACTGCAAACTTTAAAGAACTAAAATCAGTCTTGCTGGGGCCAACAGGTGGCTTGGTGGTTAAGGGTGCTGGACTCCTACATGGCTGACCTAGTTTAGAGTCCTGGACCTGGCAGCTTGCTTCTCATTCACTTGCGCTTGCTCTCTCTCTCTCTCTCTCTCTCTCTCTCCCTCTCTGGTCAAATTAAAGTAAATAATTAAATAAAGTTAAATAAAATAATTCTTAAAAATAATCAGTCTTGCTTCCTTTGTAGATTCATTGTGAGGCAAAAAGAGCAAATTATGCATAGAAACAACTCAAATAAAAAAAAATTTTAAAAACACAAAACAAGAAAATGAATGGATCAGAAGAAGATTCCTCATGGCTCCTGAGAACTAGTAATTTCAGGGTAAAAAAGAAATGAATATTCCCTACTGATAATTCAGCCTCCAGCTCACAAGCTTGAGTGGCAGGAGAGGCAAGAGGCAAGCCATCAGAAGATTCCTCATGGCTCCTAAGAACTAGTGATTTCAGGATGGATCTAAGAGAACTGTGGCCAAACATCTAAATACTATTAGGGTTAGCATATTCCTGAATATCTATTGAATCTGGTGCACAAAGCGATCAAAACGGAACAGCAAAGAGATTCCAAATCACCTCTTTCTGCTCACTCCTGAACGTTCAGATTGAACTTCAAGAATTAGTAAGAAACACACCATCCATCAGATGACTACAAATCACCGCAGGACCACAAGAAATATGGGAAAGCAAGAAAATACCTCTCCTCCAAGGGAAAAGAATAACTCCTCTTCCTCCACAGACAGTTCAATGGAAATCATGGAAATGTGTGATAAAGAATTTAGAACAGATGGAAGAGAAGAGAGACAACGAACTGCAGAAGAGAAAGGAGAAAGGAGCTGACGAGTTCCAGAAGGTGAGGAAATTCTTGCAAGATCTAAAAGAGGAATTAAACACTTTACAAAAGAATCAAATTGAACTGTTAGAGATGATGGCTATAATACAGGAAGTCAAAATCTCCCCTGAAAATATTAAAAGCAGATCATATAGAATGGCAAGAGAAAAACATCAAGTTACCTATAAAGGCTATCCCATCAGGCTAACAGCAGACCTCTCATCAGAAACAATGCGAGGGAGGAAAGAATGAGAAAATAAATTCAAAGTGTTAAGGGAAAAGTAATTTCAACCAAGAATACTGTACCCAGCAAGATTATCCTTCATGTGGGAAGGAAAGACAAGAACATTCGCAGATAAACAAAACCTGAAAGAATTTACCAGCATCAGACCAGATCTCCAAGTTCTCAAGGGAGTGCTAGATCAGGAAAATTAAATACAGTCACACAGAAATTAGAGTTCAAAAACTAAGAAAATGGCCAACTTAATCATAGGGACAAGTCTGGAGCTGAATACTATATCTCAAAATTTAATCAGGAAAAAATCAAACCACAACAGAAGATAAAGTACATGAGACTGATTTGGTGAAATAGAATTTTATGACTTTTGACTAAAACATTGCTGATTTTCTTCTATGCTTTGTTGTCTAGTTTTACAGATTTGCGTCCTGTCTTGAGCTGTCAATAGGTTCATGTACCTACCATTTGAACAGAATCCTAACTTGTTTCCTGGCTTTAAGTTTTAAGCAAAGTTCCTTAGCATTTCTTTTATTTAAGTTAAAACTGCTTTTCTTGAAATTACCAAGTGAACTTGCTATTGAAAGTAGTTAGGTTATTTAAGAAATTGTGCAATCAATACAATGTGGGGAGGAAAGGAATGGAAGACAACTGTAGACACCAGAGACAATGTGAGAAGAGGGTGGGAAAGGACAGAGGGTTAGAAATAGGGGTTAAAAAAAAATACTAGAAACTAGAAATTGAAAATTTTTGACAATAGCATGCATGATTAAGCCACCATGCAGTATATTCTGGATGGGAAACCACATTTTGTATGATGTGACGATGCTTGGGGAATGAATGTAAATTAAGTTTAAAAAAAAGTTTCAAAAAAAAATATTTCAGAAGTAAATTACAGGACACTTGTGACTAGATTCTAGCTTTGTCAATATTTTTAGTTTAACATTTTGTGAATCAATAAAATATGCAAAAATTTAAGTATGGAAGGGAGAAGGGGAAGGAAAAAAGTAAAAGTATGCTTAATTGACAAAAGTATGAGAAGCTATTTTCTTGTTAAGTTATAGAGTAATATCTTTGGCTTGACTGACATGCATAGTATTTGTGCTAGAAAAAGAAATGTTGTACACTGTAAAAATGTGATTAAATGTAAATAAAAATATAATAAATAAAAAAGAAAATGAGTTTTGAGAGTTTAACTATCCCCACGTTTAAACTTTCTTGTGATTTTATTTCTCATAAAGTAATAGTGAACACTGTAAACTGCTACCAACCAGACACACATCTACTACAGGTATTAACTAACTTTATATTTGGAATGTGTGTGAATGTGTGTGTGTCTATGTGTGTGCACACTAACGTTTTATCCTTGTCTATAAAATGAGGTTATAGCCCCTTAACACCTCATAGGTTTTTTTGTTGTTTGGGGGGGATATTTTAGACTTTTTTCATAAGGCATGTGTGCTTCCCAGAGAGAGACAGAGAGAGAGGAAAAGGGAGAAATCACCCCCGAAGAAGGATATCCATGCTGCAATCCCTTCCCCTCCCTTTCTTCTCGGGATTTTGGGCATGCACGTACAAATGCCCAGCAAGATTTTCAAGCCACCAGGTCCGGGACTCAAACCATGGTCTGCCATATGGGAGTCCAGCACCTTAACCACTGAGCCACCTGAGGGTCCCAATTCCCTATAGTTTTAAGGCTTTAAAGGATAAGACCATGGGCTAACTCCATAGCTTAGCAGTTAAGGGAATCAGATACCACATGGCCAACCACGGTTCAAATCCCAGCCCTAGTGGCTTGAAAAACACACTGGGTACTGCATATGTATACCCAAAATCCTGATAGGAAGGAGAAATGAAGAAAAAAGGATTGCATCATGACTACTCCCCACTAGGGGGGTACATGCATTCATTATCTCCAGCAAACACAATACCCTCTAGCAACACACTTTTTTTTATTAATAGGTTTTTGCCTTGGGGTGCATGTGCTTGGGGGAGAGGGGCAAGGAATGTGAGAAAATCACCCTTCAGCAGTGTTGGCCATATCGCAATCCCTTCTTCTCCATTCTCCTCCTGAGATTTTGGCCATGCACATACATGTGCCCAGAGTTAAGTTTCAAGCCACTGGGTATGGGATTAGAACTGTGGTTGGCCATGTGGGAGTCCAGCAATGTAACCACTACACCATCTGCTGGCCCCTCTAGTAATACATTTTTTTAAATAAAGAGAAAAAAGGAGAAATTCTGAACCAGGAACTTCATGTTTACTGTTAAATTTAAGTCTAAGTACATTCATTGTTGACCCCATCAACAACCAAAGTGTACAACAAAAATACCTAACTTTATGAGGTAGATGAAGGACTCCCTTGAGCTAATTTCAAAAGTTACACTTTCATTTATTATTTTTTATTATTAAAAACATGTATGTTGAAACTAACAAATCTCCAAAACATTTAGATGATACTTTCTTAAAGATGTCTTAACTGCCCTTCAAAAAGTAGTGATCAAACAAAAAATTTGGTGTCTTACAGCAGATGCTAACTGTTCTTCTGTCATGTCTTCCACGAATACGGTTTTAGCTGAGGGTTCTTCAGGAAGAGCATCTGATGACCCCATCATTAGTAGAGTCATTCCCTGTTTTAAAAAAGATAATAATTTCAGAAAAATTCTTAAAAGTGGGTAATAATTATGTGCAATGAGAGAAAAGGTATATATACAGAATCTAGATTTAGTTGTTGCTGAGGAAAGAGAAAGTAAGTTTAAATGGGCTAGAGTTTCTTCCTAGGCTAAGGATAATATTCTAAAATTACATGGTAATAAAAGTTATATCACTCTGTAAATACACTACTAAAAATCATGCATTGTTAAAGAATTTTTTTTGGAGGGGAGAGGTTTTTGATATAGGGTATATGCGCTCACCAGAAAGACAGAGACAGAGAGACAGAAAGCAAGAAATCACCCCCAGGGGGAATGGCCATGCTGCACTCCCTTCTCCTCAACTGTCCTATCGGGATCTTGGGCATGCACGCACACGCGCCCAGCATGAGCTTAAGCCACTGGGTCCAGGACTTGAACTGCAGTTGACTACATGGAAGTCCAGCAACATAGCCCTTATGCCATCTGCTGGTCCCAATAAAATTTTAAAGTAATACAGTAGTTGCTTGGAGTCAGAGTTCACCTGTTATCTTCAAAGGAAACCATTTACAGTAATAAAACATCAAAATTTTGACTGGGGTGACAGTTATGTTACTGTGTAAAATTACCTACATTCATCAAATTACACTAAAAAAAAAATTAAAAAAAGGTAAATTTTACCCTCTATATACATTACCTGAATAAAGCTGAGGTAAAAGGAAATGTTGCCATGAAAAAAAAAAGGCTAATTTTTACACTATTAGAGGGGAGGGAAGTCCTCAAATGCTCATTAACATTCAGTGGCATCATTTCTTCCCATGACGAACTAACCACTAATAGGACTCCTTTTGTGGGGATAGCCCAGGGCCTTGGTGATTAAGTCGGCTGGATCCCACATGGCCAACAGTGCAGTATGACTCTTGGACTTGGGGGCTTGAGATACACATTGGGCATGTGTGTATGTGTGCCCCAAATTTGGAGATGAGATTGCGGCATGACCACAAACCATGAAGAGGTTCTTTCTTCTTTCAGGTTTTTGCCATAGGGCACATGTACTTACCAGAGAGAATCAAGAGAGACACAGAGAGAGGGAAAGTGAGAAATCACCCCACCTTCAGGGGGATGGCCACACTGCAATCCCTTCTCCTCTATTTTCCTATCAAGATTTTGTGCATGGGAACCAGCAGTTAGCATAATGGCTATGTCGCTGGACTCCCACGTAGTCGACTGCGGTTTGCGTCCTGGACCCGGTGGCTTAAAACTCACGTTGGGCACGTTTGCGTGCGTGTCCAAGATTCCGAGAAGAGAATGGAGGAGAAGGGATTGCAGTGTGACCATCCCCACCCCGGGGGGTGATTTCTCACTTTCTGTCTCTCTGTCTCTGTCTGTCTGGTGAATGCACACGCCCTATAGCAAAAAACTCTCCCCCCCGCAAAAAAAAAAAGTCAATGGGAAGGGCCAGCAGGTGACATGGTGGTTAGAATGCTGGACTCCCACATGGTCAACTACGGTTCAAGTCCCAGATCTGGTGGCTTGCTTTCCCACTTCTCCTTTCTCTCTCTGATGACTACAAGTTAAAAAGTAATAATAATAAATTAAATAAATAATTCTTTAAAAGATGTCAATGGGGAGACCAGCAGCTGTCATAATGGCTATATCACTGGACTCCCATGTAATCAACCATGGTTCAAGTCCCAGACCCTGTGGCTTAAACTCACACCAGGCATGTGTGCATGCATGCCCAAGATCCCGAGAGGAGAATGGAAGAGAAGGGACTGTGGCATGGCTGTCCTCTGTGCTAGGTGATTTCTTGCTTTCTATCTCTCTGTTTCTCTGTCTTTCTGGCAAGCACACACATTTGATAGCAAAAACCTCTCTAAAAATAAAGTCAATGGGAAATGTCAAGTATTTTAAACAGATGGTACTAGAACAACTGGTATACATTTGAAAAAAAAAGTCATTTAGAATTTATTTTGGTATAATAATCATGTTACTGTATTATATCAGCACTCTTAATACTTACATTTTTTATTTTGATGTTTCCCCAATCTTCATCCTGTTTCAAAGATAATTAAAAATAATTTAATTACCTGTGCGAAAGTTGAACATAATCTAATAATCAATTGATTTTAACCTACTTAAGAAAGAGATTAAGACAGACCAACTTGTGGCTTGGTGGTTAGAGGAGTTAGATCCCACATGGCACACTGTGCAGTTTCACTCCTGGACCTTGCAGCTTAAATAAAATACTAAGTGCACACATGCACACACCAAAATCCTGAAAGAAGGAAAAATGGAGATGCAACTGCAACATGACCATTACCCATGGGGATGCTTTCTCTCTCTCCCTCTCTTTCTGTCTGTCTCTCTCTGGTGAGCACTCACATCCTCTGGCAAATTTTTTGAAGATAAAACAAGATTTATTCTGTTTGCAGACTTAAAGTCACTGCAATTGAAAAATAAATATTTTAGGGATGCCCCATAGCACAGTGGTTAAACGTTATGCTTGGGGAGCTGGATCCCACATGGCAGATGGTGGTTTGAATCCCAGTCCTGGTGGCTTGAAAACCATGCCTGATGGGATTGAGAAATAGAGGAAAGGACTGCCGCATGACCACACCCCATGGTAGGAGGGGGTTGTTCTCTCTCTCGCTCTCTCTGTCTCGCTCCCTCTCTCTCAGGTGAGTGCACATGCCCTTCATAATTTAAAGAAAAGAAAAAAAAATTGACGCGTGCATTTCTAAAGTCAGGAAGTCCAACAATTACTTAAACTGCATAAGGTAACAATCTATAAATTACTAAAGGTGGCAGCACCAAGTACTTAAAAGTATGTAAACACAAAAAACAATTTTAGTAAGTATTAAATTATGGCTAACTGATGACAAATGGAAGATCCTCATGTTCTGTACATTTGAACAAGCAGAACTAATTAATAACTATCTTTTATGACAAAAATGACAAGGTCTGTGTAATTAGAATGACTGTAAATTTATCACCCAACCAAGACACTACTCTTGAGAGTCAACTGTTAAAAAGATTTTACCAGGACAGTAAACCAGACTACCGAAGGCAAACAAACTGTTGACGATATCTGAATATGCAAAAGTGTTTCTCAAGTCCTAACTTTCACATCTATGAAGCAATCAACAAATATTTTCATTTCAACATGTTTGGTAAAAATTGTGATTTTTTTTAAATGCCGTGATTGATCCACAGATACTTTAAGTTACTGCAGCGAGGCCCTACCCTTCACAGGATAGTCAGTTCTATTATTCCTTTCTTTCCACAACAGGTAGGCACTCGGCGTGGTCTGTCTTCCCTTCACTGCTGTCACTAATTCACTCTAGACACCCTACTTTATGTTGAACATAAACTAGATTCTTAACAGCTCTCCTCAGTTTAGACGCTATTATGGCTTATCATAAGGAATGAACATTATAAATGTCTACTCAGATCATGTACCTGAGGTCACACAAAGCTGGGAATTAAACTCTGAGCTGCTTAACTTACAAACTATAAACTCTTTTGGTGTGTCACTGTAAGTTAAGTTTCTCTGTCAGTTTCTTCATTTATAATATGTGGATAACACATACGGCTGGGAATTAAAGAAAATACATGAAGGAGCTAACGAGTGGCATGAAGGTTAAGGCAGCTGGATCCCACACGGCCAACTGTGCAGTTCAAGTCATAGACCCAGCAGCTTAAATTAACATGCAAGGCATGTGTGCATGGGCACTCAAAGTCCTGAGAGGCGAATGGAGATAAGACTGTTACATGGCCATCCCCCTTTGTGGGGTGATTTCTCATTTTCTCTTTCTTGCTCTCTCTCTCTGCCAACCCCACTAGTGCACACACATTACAAAAAAAAGTTAAAAAAGGGGACCAGCAGTTGGCGTAATGGCTGTGTTGCTGGAGTCTCATGTAGTCAACCGTGGTTTGAGTCCCGGACCTGGTGGCTTAAACTCACCCCAGGCGTGTGTGCCTGAGTGCCCAAGATCCCAAGAGGAGAATGGAGGAGAAGGGATTGCGGCATGGCCATCCACCCTGGGAGGGGGGGGGAGTTCTGGCTTTCTGTCTCTCTGTCTCTTTCTGGCGAGCATACATGCCCTATAGCAAAAAAGAAAAGAAAACAACAACCTCTCAAAAAAAAAAAGAAGTTAAAAAGAAATATATGAAAAGCCTGGCACAGACCATTTGACAAATGGTATGTATTAGTAATCAGAGTTGCATTTAATTATAATGTCTCTATAATTCTGTATAGTATGCCACCAGTATATACACAGCTCAGCAAAAACTAGGGAGCAAGTTTACTAAAGGCCAAAGGCTCATACTACAACTTGGAAGTGGGGGGTAGGGTAAAAGAAGTTTTTTTCACCAGCATGTGTCTTACTGCTCAGTAGACAGAGATAGCCAGTCCCCATCTTTATTGTTAACTATAGCTCTTTAGCACTCTATACCAAATCCTTAAAAAAAACTTTTTAAAAGCAATACTTATGTGCTATTACAAACAATAATAGAAAAAACATCTCATATTTTCTGTACCCCTTACTAATACTTAAACTCAACCATACTGAGTATAATCATTCCAAAGGAAGTAAAGGAAAAATTAGATTCTCTTTCTCTTTTCCTTTTCTTTTAGGTTTTTGCCATGGGGCTTATGCACTGGCCAGAGAGAGACAGAAAAAGGGAAAGTGAGAAATTACCCCTCAGGTGGGATGGCCACACCATAATCCCCTCTCTACTCTCCTATTCTCTTCCTGGTTTTGGGGCATGTACCCAACCATGCCCAGTGTGGTTTTCAAACTACTGGGCCCAGAGCTTGAACTGCAGTCAGCCATGTGGGAATCTAGCACTTTAACTACCACACCACCTGCTGGCCCCAAAGTTTCTTCCCTTTTTAAACAAAATCTTTCTCTCATCTCCAGGTAAGAGTTAGATAATTATTCCACTAAAAAGAAAGGGAATCTTCTTTAGTGAGTAGGATACAAGAAAACACAAAAGAAAAATTAAGTTTTTCAGTATTCTAGAACCAGAACATTGGTAAAGATGCAGAATAGTTTGTTTTTTTTTATTTTATTTTAGTTTAGTTTAGTTTTGCTTTTTGTTTATTTTTATTTTGAGACAGGGATTTGCTATGTTGCCCAGGTTGGTCTAAACTTGCAATCTTCCTGCTTTGGCTTCGCAAAAGCTGGGATTACAGGTACATACCATAGTGCCCAGTGATGCTGAAGTGATTTGAATTACAATACTGAAATGTATACATAAAAATATATGCTGCAGTAGTATTTTTAAGTAAAAATAAAGAGATCTACCCATATTGGTTCTTTTTTTTTTTTTTAAAGAAATGACATCTTTTATCCTTATAATTGAAAACTACTAAGGTAACACATATAGATTTTATTTTGTTTGAATGAAATAAAATCAATACCTTTATACATCCTCACAAGAAAAGAAGTCAAGGGGCTGACAGGCAGTGTGGTAGTTAAGGGCACTGGACTCCCACATGGCCAACCATGGTTTAAGTCTTGGACCTGGCATCTTGCTTTTTCACTTTCTCTCTCTCTCGTTCTCTGTCTCTTTCTGGTAGAATTAAAATAAATAAATAAAGTTAACTAAAATAATTATTTTTTTAAATAAAAGAAATCAAACAGTACAGATTACTGTAAAGTGTCCCACTCCCCTGACCTCCACAGGTATCCACTAATACATAACATTTTTTTAAATAAAATTTTAAATGATGCTTTTTTAATACAGTGTTTTGAAATGGCTATAATTTCCTCCCTTACACTAACTTAAATAAGACAGTTTTAATCTCATAGATTATATACTTTCAACAAATAAAGAGAAACTTCAAATGCTACATTAGCACTGAACACATTTTCTGGTGGTATCCTCATTAATTATATAATAATAACATATAATAAAATTTTGAACAAAACTTTACCTTCAATGTTCCTCCTTTCACCATAACTTTCTGTCTGGCCGGCTGGACTCCAGTAAGTGCAAAAAGCTGAGCCTTGAACACCATTGGAGGTTCATCAGTATTCAATTCTACACCTTCAAATTTCTCCTTTCCCCATTTTACAGTAACTGTAAGAAAACCATAATTTTTGTTCATTTACAAAATAACAAGACTTCAGATTGAGACAACCCTTAGAGGATCACCAGTTAGGCTAGTTTTTGAGGGTCCAACAGTGTCATTCATCTTTTTATGCCCATAGTGCCTACTTAATCAAGGCGACATGCATTAATAGGTTCTGAATAAAATCTTCCTGAACCTAACCCAACTTATTTGATAAATAAAGAAACTAAGACTTGAGCTTAAGAAAAGTTGATTGATTTTTCTAATGTCACAAAACTAGTTAATAAATTTCTAAGTCTCCTGAATCCTACTCCAATAATCTCTGCAAAATAGGATGGTCCCATAGAAATAATTCCCAGAATAACAAGATTCAGGTCCTTCACAGTATATTTAATTTAAAAATCATCAACAACACACATACAGTGTATTGTTCAAGCCACCAGGGCCAGGACTGCAACCACACAACTGGTCATATGGGATTCAACTCCCTTAACCATTCAGCCCCAAGAGCCAGGAGGGTGCTATTTCTCTCTCTCATTCACCCAAGTCTTGCTCATGAAAAAAGAAACTTTAACAATTAAAAAAGAAAGAAAGGTGTGGGAGAACTGAAAGGTGCTATTCCTGAGCAAGAGGTACTCAACTATTAAGAATCCAAAGATAAACCTAAATCATTAAAAATACATAAAATCCCCCTTCTGAGCCATTAGGATGGCTATTATTTTTTAAAGCAGAAAGTATATGTTGATGAGAATGTGGAAAGATTGAAACCTTTGCACACCGTTTGCAGAAACATAAAATGGTAGAGCCACTGTGGAAAATAGTATGAAAAAAAACATGGAATTAACATATGATCCAGCAATTCTACCCCTGGATATATACCCAGAAAAACTAAAAGTAGGAATTCAAACTGACATTTACACATTCATGTTCATAGCAACATTACTTACAAATGACAAAAAAGTGGGAGCAACCCAAGTGTCTATCAACAGATTAACAGATAAGCAAAATGTGGTATACACATACAAGGGATTATCATTGGGCCTTAGAAAGGAAAGACATTCCTCCATATGCTACAACATAAACAAATCTTGGAGAATTATGCTAAGTGAAATAAACCAGTCACCAAAGGACAAATACTTCAAGATTCTATTTTTATGAGGTACTCTAACACTGAGACAAGAAAATAGTGGCTGCCAGGAGCTGGAGGGAAAAGAAAATGGGGACATTTTATTTAATGTATACAGCTTCACTTTGGAAATTTTATGGGAAAATTCTGGAGGTTGAGGACCAGAAGGGTGGTGCAAAGGTAAAACAGGACACTTCGAGGTCAATACAGCAAGGCTGACCCACACAGAAAGGTTCAGGGTCCACATCTGTAAAACCCCAATATGCCAGCCATACCCATGCCCATGATCCTGAGCTGGCTGAAGCCAGGAGTGCATTGCAGCATCAAAATCCTTCTGGAGTGGGGCTGGCAGGTGGCATGGTAGTTGGAGCACTGGACTCTCACATGGCTGACCGTGATTCAAGTCCTGGACCTGGCGGCTTGCTTTCTCACTTTTCTCTTTCTCACTCTGTCCCTCTCTGGTCAGATTAAAATAAATAAATAAATAAAACTCAAAAAATAAAATAATTCTTTTTTGAAAAATCCTTCTGGAGTTGTTCTCCCCCTCCCCTCAGAAAAAGCAAATAATCTTCAAAAAAAAGTTCTGGAGGTAGACGGTAGTGATGGCAGTGATGGTTGCACAACAATGGAAACATTCTTCATCCTGCAAAACTCAATACTTAATAACAGTTAAAACGGGAGCCAGTGGGTGGTGTGGTGGCTAAGAGAGCTGGACTTCCACATGGTCAACCACTGTCCAAGTCCCGGACCAGGCAACTTGCTTTCTCTCTCTCTCTCTCTCTCTCTCTCTCTCTTGTCAAATTAAAATAAATAAATAAAGTTAAATAAAACAATTCTAGGGCCAGCAGGTGGCGTGGTGGTTATGGCACAGGACACCACCACATGGTCAACCACAGTTTGAGTCCCAGATCTGTTGTCTTGCTTTCTTACTTTCCCTCGCTCTCTGTTTGTCTCTCTGCAAATAAATAAATAAATAAAAATTTAAAAATTTTTTAAAAATAAAAATGGTTAAAACGAGGGTTTGCAGGTGGTGTGGTGGTAAAGGCATTGGATTCCCGTATGGCTAATGACAGTTCAAGTCCCAGGCCCAGTGGCTTGAAAAATCACAATAAAAAGACACATAAATAGATAAATAAAAAATAAAGTAGTAGTTAAAACAGTAACTTTTGTCATATACATTTTTAAAGACTTACTTTATTTATTATTATTATTTAATTTACTCTAGGGTACATGCACTCACCAGAGAGACAGACAAATGGAAAGAGAGAGAGAAAGTGAAAAAGCAAGCAAGTCACCAAGTCCAGAGTTCAAGTCTAGCACCTGAACCACCAGGAAATCTAGCACCTTAACTACCATGCCACTTGCTGGCACCTTGTGCATTAAGTTTTACCACAAAAAAAGAATTTTAATCAGTCTAACAACATTTTTTAATTATTTTTAGGTTTTTGCCATAGGGCACATACATTTATTGAAGAGAGAAAGAGGGAGAGAAAGAGAGAAATTACCCCCTGGGGGAATGGCCATGTGACAATTCCTTCTCCTCCATTCTCCTCTCAGGATTTTGAGTACATATGCACACACACACCTGGCATCATTTTTTTCAAGCTGCCAGGTCTGGGACTCAGACAGCAGTTGACCACATAGGAATCTAGCACCTTAACCACCAAGCCACTTACTGATCCCAGCCTAATAATTTTTAAAATATATAAAAACATAATAAACTCAGACATGTATTGTTTTCACTAAAAACTTTACCAGTTCAAAAATGTGAATCCTGGGGGCCAGCAGGTGGCATGGTGGTTAAAGTCCTAGACCTGGTGGCTTGCTTTCTCACTTTCCCTTTCTCTCTCTCTGTCTCTCTCTGGTGAAATTGAAAAAAATAATAACAAATGGAATTAAATAAATAAGTAATTCTAAAACAAAACAAAACGTGAATCTTGGGGCTAGCAGGTAGTGTGGCAGTTAAGGCACTGGATTCCCACATGGCGGACCACGGGTTCAGTCCTGGACCTGGAGGCTTGAAAATCACACCGGGAATGTGTGCATGTGTACCCAAGATCCCAGAAGAAAAACGGAGGAGAAGGGATTGTGGCATGGCCATCCCACCATGGGGTGATTTCTCACTTTCCCTCTGTCTTTCTCTGTCAAGTACACGAACCTTATGGCAAAAATATTGAAAAAAAAAAAAAAAAAGGAGAGAATATCACATCTAATACCTGCCTAATTTCTAACTTCTGAAACTGGAATTTGAAGACTTGATCCTGACTCCAAATCCCAATTTTGTCACAGTTCAATGAATGTATATAGAGCACTCCCTTCATGAAATACATAATACCAAGCATTAGCAAGAATCTGTAAACTTACAGTCTAATAAGGGACAGAACTTAGAGATGGAGGTAAAATAATTATTGGTATTTCATATATTTTAAAAGCTACAGGGGACAGTGTCCTGGTGGTTGAGGCAGCTGGACCTCACATAACTTACTGCAAGGTGAGAGTCCCTGGACATATGGCTTGAGAAATATGCCCGGAGGACCAGCAGTTAGAGTAATGGCTATATCGCTGGACTCCCATGTAGTCGACCGTGGTTCGAGTCCCAGACCCGGTGGCTTAAAACTCTCGCCGGGTACGTGTGCCTGCATGTCCAAGATCCTGAGAGGAGAATGGAGGAGAAGGGATTGGGGTGTGGCCATCCCCCAGGGGGGTGATTTCTTGCTTTCTGGCTCTCTGTCGCTCTCCATCTTTCTGGCAAGCGCACGCACCTTACAGCAAAAACTTCTTCAAAAAAAAAAAAGAAATATGCCCAGCACCTGCGCGCATGCGTGTGCATCAAAAATCCCAAAAGAAGAGAGAAATGGAGAAGGGATTGAAGTGTGAACATGCCCTATGAGGGAGCTTTCACCTCTTCCTCTGTCTCTCTGGTGAGCACAGGTGCCCTCAAGCAAATTTTTAAGGGAAAAAAAAAAGTAAAAGTAACAGGAACACACAGGGAAGAAAAATATTCTGTAGGAAATGTTAAGTTTTTAGTTATCATTATGAATTTTGAGTTGAGTCTCGAAGAAAAGGTTGAGTGTTAGGCAGAGAACAGGAGAGAATAAGAGAATCTGTTAAGGGGAAAAAAAAAAAAAAGACAAGCATTCAACAAGCATATGGCGGTATGGTATATTCTGAGAAATAAGAAATCCCAGGAGTAAAGGGAAAGTCAAGGAAGATAACATAAGTCAGCCTAAAACATACATATGAACTATGACCAAGCTCTGTGTCATAGGGAGTAAGGGTCCCCTTCATGATACTGGAGCCATATGGGAAGACCTGGAGTTCAGAAACCCAGGTTGGCCTGATGATGCTAGGTGTACCTACAGACCTAGCTGTCTGGAAAGCTGGGGAGAGGATCCTCATGTGGCAAGATTCAGACAGGAATCTCTATCTGTATCCCACCCTCATGAAAGAAAGAAACTTAAAGAAAGAGAGAAAGAAAAAAAGAAAGAAAAGAAAAAACATTCTTACGGGCTTTTTATCTTACAGGCATGTATAACTTCTGAAGGTTTTCATAAAGACCACTTGGTTTGGTCTGAATATTATTAGGTCACTTTAGTAGCAGCAGGGAAAATGACCTTTAAAGACACACAACTGTAATCATGGAGAAACACTACTGTGCCAACTAAAAATATATTAAAATAGTACAAGCTGGGCCAGCAGGTGGTATGGTGGTTAGAGCACTGGATCCAACATGGCCAACCCAATGATTCAAGTCCAGGCCCAGCAGCTTGATAAACACGCCAGGTGTAAATCCTCGTGTGCCCAAAACTTCGAGAGAAGAATAAAGAGACTGCAGTGTGGCCATCCCCCCTGAAGGGTAATTTCTCACTCTCTCATACACACCATATGACAAAAATCTCAAACAAACAAAAACCAAGCAAAAAAATAAGATGGGATTAAACCAATACAGTATTAAAAATAAAGGAGAACATACCTGAAATTTACCTGTGTTACCACGGGCAAGTTACTGAAAGTTTTTGCTTATCCATAATAGGGGAATTATACTACTGAGTTGTCAGGAAAAGTCATGACATAGTTTTGCATAGAAAAATACATCATGACTTTCTCAATGACCAAATAATATCACAGGATTATGCTGAAGATTAAAACAATGTGTAAATCCCTAGCTCTGTGCTAGGCACACAGTAGGTGTTCAATAGTTTTTACTGCACTTATCCTTAACCATTTAAGAATTTGGATATTTACTTTTCTACTAAAATTTACATAATACAGAAAAATCTTCTCTTCGTTTTAATATAGGGCTTTTTGTTGACCCTGACAATACGAATTCTCAGTATGGAGATGTCAAAGGAAGGGACCTTAGAAATATTCTTCAACATCCTCACCTGGGGGCTAAGGAGAAGATCTCATTAAATATTTGAAACAGAATTGGATTTTTTAAAAGAATTATTTTATTTAACTTCATTTATTTATTTCAATTTGACCAGAGAGGGACAGAGTGAAAGTGACAGAGAGAGACAGAGAGAGAGAGAAAGCTTCCAGGTCCAGAACTCAAACCACAGTTGACCCTGTGGGAATCCAGCACCCTTAACCACCATGCTACCTTCCTACCCCTAGAAATCAATTTTAAAGATACAAGCTTTGGTTAGTGGTGGTATTTCGTTGTTGAGGGAACAGAGAAGAATTGGTCTTGTTGTGTGTACAAACCTACTGGTGAGTTTAAGTACTAGCACAGAGCCTTTTTTTCACCATTAAATAATGTCTCCTCAAATCTAAATTGCATAAATATTTCAAGTACAATTGTACTGTTAATCGCTGCTGTTTCACAAAGAGCACTAGAAAATCATCAGAGCACTCTATTCAAGATTCTAAATTATTAAGAATCCACTTTAAACAATACTTCTGATTCATATCATTCTTTTAAAATGCTGAATCTTCAATAAAGGAATTATAACAGAGTAAAGTGTCAGTGATGGTCAATGAATCACATGTCAATAGCCAACTGAAGTCACCACACACATTTTAGGTGCCATTTTGAATACGACTGGGAAACAGCAAGGTCCATTAACAGAGTACAAACGTGATCCCTGGCCAATACCTTGGACTGACATCAAGCAAACAACCCCTGTCAAACACCAATCAAAAAGAAATTTCGCCCGCAAATATCTGTATTGGTTTATCTCTCAATGCTAACGCTGGGCTTCGGATATAGAAGTGCAATACAATGTATGATGAAATAAAAATGAATCAAAGGCTCGCAATCTCCCTCCAGACAGAACTGAAAATGGAATAAAAAGGGTGGTCGAGTCAAAGGTTTGAGTAAGTGAAGGGCAAAGGGAGGCATCGAGGGCAACCCCAACACGGGTGAAGACGAAGCTAACATCCCGGGTCCCTCCATCCCTCCCCTCCTTCCCAGCTTCCTTCCATATATACCACCAAGACGTCCAAAGGAATCGCAATGCACCTCCAGCCTGGTCCCAGCACCGAAGGACACACCCTCACCTCTCCCAGCACACTAGGGCAGCAACAAAAGTATTCTGCACAGTCACGACTCCGAGGTGCGTCCCTGTCTCCACTCCCGCTCCCACCCGGGGGTCTATAAAGGCGCTCTCCTCAGGGCTCCAACCCAGCAAGGAGGAGAGTTCCGGGGCGGTCTCCGCACCGCAGCCAGCCTGTACTCCCCACCCCGTCTGCCCTCAACTGGTGCCGCCTCTGCAGGCCAGGCCTAGGCGGAGGCCTAGCATCGCGCCCTGGCGACAGCGAGCGGCGACTAGGGAGCTCACCGGAGTAGAGCGGCATGGTGGGTGCGAGGGGAAACGCTGGGGAAGAAGGGCCAGGCCTGGCAAGGGTGGCGAAGGGAAACGACCAGACGAACTGCGGCGGCAGGCGAGGGAGAGGCGCGGTGGTGGCGGCTCCACTGCGACTGCGACGAGAGTCTCATTCAAACCGGCCACTGGCGATGACGCAGCAGCACGCAGCTCACCCTCACAGTCTGCGGGCGCCTGTAAGGAGGAGGAGGGCTTCGAGAGCGAGGCGGGGCGTGGAGAGCGGCGAGGAGGCAGGGACTGAAACGCGGGCGAGAGGCTGGCGGAGGGAGGAGGGGCGGGGCGCAGGCGCGTGGCGTGTGCTGCGAGAGCAGGCGCGCGCATGCGCACCTCGCCACTGCCCTGCGCCGACTGCCTGTGGTCCCAGCGCGGCCTCGCCCAGCGGCTGGTGAAGGGAGGCGTAGGTAGCATGGGGAGATGGGGAGCGTGCGCTAATTTGGAAGACCTAGAAAGAGAGGGAAAGTGAGAAATCACCCGACTCTTCTGGGCGTCGCCGGGTGTTTTCTGAGCCGCAGGCCTGGGACTTGAACCGCTAAGTCAGCCATATGGTATACGGCGCCCTTAACCACCACGCCACCTGACGGCCCCAGATTTCCCTCATTTTGAGGAGGGTGGATCAGTATGAAAATATTTTTTTCTTGTTAATGTAAATGTTAACGATTTCTTGTTAATGTATCCAGTAGGTGAGCTGAGAATTGAGAGACCTTGATCTCTGTATACAATTTATTGAAAAGGCTAAAATGGGGACCGGCAGGTGGCGTGGTGGTTAAGGGTACTGGACACGCACATGGTTGACAACTGTTCAAGTCCCAGACCTGGCGACTTGCTTTGTCACTCCCACCTCCCATTTCTGTCAAATTGAAAATAAGTAAATAAATAAATAAAGTTAAATAATGCTTTAAAAAGAAAAGGCTAAAATGTGCTCAGCATCGAGATTTACGTACATGAATATTATAGAGTCATCTATTTTGAATCCCAGTGTTCCTAGCTTATGTAACCTCTCTGAGCCTCAGTTTCCTTATAAAATAGAGATAACATAAACGGGGGCGGGGTGGGGGGGGCAAGCAAGTGACATGGTTAAGGGCGCTGGACTCCCACATGGCCAACCATTGTTGGAGTACAGGACCTGGTGGCTTCCTTTCTTTCTCACTTTCTCTCTCTCACCTTCCCTCTTTCTCTCCCTCCCTCTATGGCCAAATTAAAATAAATAAGGTTAAATAAAATAATTGTTTTTAAAAATGGAGACAACAGTATCTACATTATTGGATTGTTATAAGGATCACATAAGGTTGGTTTTTTTTGTTTTTGTTTTTGTTTTTTTTTACTTTTTTTTTTTTGGAGAGATTTTCACTGTAGGGCGCCTGCGCTCGCCAGACAGACAGAGAGAGACATAGAGACAGAAAGCGAGAAATCGCCCCCCCAGGGGGGATGGTCACGCCGCAATCCCTTCTCTTCCATTCTCCTCTCGGGATCTTGGGCACGCACGCACACGTGCCCGGCGTGAGTTTTAAGCCACCGGGTCTGGGACACGAACCGCGGTCGACTACATGGGAGTCCAGCGACATAGCCATTACGCCAACTGCTGGTTCCCTAGGATCACATAAGGTTTTGTAGAAGATGCTTAGCACAGTGCACTGTGCATACTATGTAATAAATGAAAGACATAACATATTACCCAGAAAACAGTAAGAGGATTTCATAAGGTGTGCCTCGAATAGGAGGCTGTAGGTAGCTATTCTATTTTACATATGTCTGGTAATATATATTTGTTTTTTTTTTTTTAAGGTTTTTGCCATAGAGTGTGTGTGTGCTGGCTGGAGAGAGACAGAGCCTAGCTGCAATTCCTTCTCCTTTGTTCTCCTAAGATTTTGGGCACACGTGCACACACAGCCAGCATGAGTTTCATGCTTCCAGGTCCAGGACTCAAACTATGGTCAACCATGTTTGAACCCAGCACTTTACCACCATGCCAATTGTTGACCCCCCAGTAATAGAGTTCTCTAAAGTACAAGGGGGAGGGCTTCAAAATCACAGATTATTTTGAAAATGATTATGAAAAAAAATTAGCCATTGATATAAAAATTTTCTTGTACCCAAATAAATTCATACTTCAATTCCATTTTTCCATGGACTTTTTGAAATCTCCTTCTTTGTATTTTTTGTGTGTGTTTTTTTGAGAGAGAGAGAGATTTTTGCTACAGGGAACATGTGCTTGCCAGAAAGACAGAAAGAGATAGAAAGTGAGAAACTACTTCTCAGGGTGGATGGTCACCCAGCAATCCCATCTTCTCCATTCTTGCCTCTGGATTTTGGACACGCACACACACAAGCCTGTGTCAGTTTCAAGCTGCCAGGTCTGGGACTCAAACCACAGTTGACCGCGTGGGAGTACAATGCATTAACTACTATGCCTCCTGCTGGCCCCAGTCTCCTTGTACGTCACATAGATCATCTATACAAAAATCCTTGCTGCCATTTGTTGAAGTTGACAGTAAGGAAGTACTAAAGATTGAAAGATGCAGGGACCAGCAGTTAGTGTAATGGCCATGTCACTGGACTCCCATGTAGTCGACTGCGGTTCGCGTCCCAGACCCAGTGGCTTAAACTCACACCAGGCATGTGTGCGTGCATGCTCAAGATCCCGAGAGGAGAATGGAGGAGAAGGGATTGCAGCGTGGCCATCCCCCCTCGGGAGTGATTTCTCGCTTTCTATCTCTCTGTCTCTCTCTTTCTGGCAAGCACATGCGCCCTATAGCAAAAACCTCTTAAAAAAAAAAAAAAAAGATTGAAAGATGCAAATGTAAATCATCCTCTATGCTGTACTCTCATTGCACCCTGCATTTTTCCCTTAGTAACTCTAATCATTCTTGTGTTTACTATCTATATTCCCCTTACCACATAGTAAAGAGAAATTGAGGCTGTCTGGTATGTACTCAGGAATTACTTGAAGCTTCAAAATCTGGCTGTGAAAGCAATCTATTTTTTTTTTATTTTATTTATTCATTCTTTTTTTTTACTTTTTTAATTTGACCAGAGAGAGACACAGAAAAAGAGGGAAGGTGAGAAAGCAAGCCACCAGGTCTGGGACTTGAACCATGATTAGCCATGTGGGAGTGTCCAGTGCCTTAACCACCATGCCACTTGCTGGTCCCCCAATCTATTTTTTTTTTAAGTGGGCCCAGCAGTTGGTGTAACGGCCATGTCACTGGATTCCCATGTAATCAACCGCGGTTTGAGTCCTGGACCTGGTGGCTTAAACTCATGCTGGGCGCATGTGCGTGCACATGCATGCCCAAGATCCCAAAAGGAGAATGGAGGAGAAGGGATTGTGGTGTGGCCATCCTCCCTGGGGGTTGATTTCTCGCTTTCTGTCTGTCTTTCTGGTGAGCCCTTTAGCATAATAGCTATGACACTGGACTCCCATGTAGTCGACCGTGGTTCGCATCCCAGACCCGGTGGCTTAAAACTCACGCCGGGCGCGTGTGCGTGCGTGCCCAAGATCCCAAGGGGAGAATGGAGGAGAAGGAATTGCGACGTGGCCATCCGCCCTGGGGGGTGATTTCTCACTTTCTGTCTCTCTGTCTCTCTCTGTCTGGTAAGCACACACACCCTATAGCGAAAACTTTTCCCAAAAAAAAACACTACCAAAAAAAGAATTATTTTATTTAGCTTTCTTTCTTTATTTTAATTTGACTAGAGAGGGACAGAGAGAGAGAGAGAGAAAGCAAGCCACCATGTCCAGGATTTGAACCGTGGTTGGCCATGTGGGAGTCCAGTGGCCTTAACCACCACACCACCTGCCAGCCCCCAACAAAAGCAATCTATTTTAAGTTCACTTAATCTATACATGACCAAGGAATCATTTAGATAAAGTTTGTACATACACCCCTCCCTCCTTTGTACAGCTAAAGAACTAACTTCTTCCAGCTTCTCTGGAGATTTGCAGATGTAAATTTAAGACAAATGGGGACAGAGTAATGATGCAGAACTAGGCTAGTAATTGAAAAGAAGCATAAAAGGAAATTTGCATGACTGGACTTCCTAAATTATGAACACCTGTGGAGAAAAGTCCAGCCTTAAATAACTTGGCCTTAACTACATATGGCCTAGAACAGTGCTTTGCCCAGAAAGGTGTTCAGTAAGTATTTCCTAAATAATTGACATAGCTGGTCTTCCTAGATGCCAGCTTTAGAGAGAGAGTTGTTCTATAATATGTGCCATGTATTGTAAAGTTGACTTCTTTAAATAATGAAGATACTGTTAAGATCTTAACCTGCATGTTTCGTGTGTATGTGTACATGGACACCAGAGAAAACGGGTGAGGAGAGAGAAAGCACCCTCTCCCATGTGTAGCCATGCTGCAATCCTTTTTCCTCTATTTCCTCAAGAACACACATGCCCAGCCTGTTTTTCAATCCACAGGGCCAGGATTAGAACCCTGGGACCAGCCATGTGGGATCTGGTTCTCTATGCACTGCACTGGGCTGGACTTTAACCCGCACACTTATAAATGAGGTTGGGGCTGGCAGGTGACTTGGTGATTAAGGCACTAGACTTACTACATGGCTGACCATGGTTCAAGTCTCAAACATGGTGGCTTGCTTTCTCAGTCCCATGGTTCTTTCTGGTCAAATTTTAAAATAAATAAATAAAATAAAATAAAATAAAATAAATAGGTTCTTTATAAATAATGTCTATAAAATATGACCAAATATCAAAGGGGTTTTAGATGGTGAACTACCTATGATTTATTACTTCAAATGCTTTCCACATCATCCAGCCAACAGAAATCCTGTCCAATTTCAAAGTCTCTATTTTGTTTTGTTTTGTTTTGTTTGCAATAGGGTGTGTGTGTGCTCAACAGAAGGAGGAAGAGAAAGGCAGAGGGAAAATGAGAAATCACCCCGTTGGGGAGGTGGCCATACTGCAGTCCCTTCACCATTCTCCTGGGATTTGGGGCACATGCATACAGTGTGATTTTCAAGCCACCAGGTCTAAGACTCAAACTGCAGTCAGCCATGTGGGAGTCCAGTGCCTTAACCACTATACCACCTGCCAGCTCATCAAAGCCTCCATTTACTGCTAACTCTTTCATATAAATACAAAGCCTACTCATAACAACCACCCCTTCCTAGCAAAGAGTGTTACATTATGGGTTTTTTTCTCATTTTATTCAATAAGTATATATTGAGTCTTAGACATGCAATATATCCACTGTGGATACAAACAATGGT